GTATGTGTATCGACATCAAAACCAAAGGAGAGGCATACAGAGGACGTTAGGCATTCAGACGCACAGTCATATAGAGATGAACTCCCGAGCTTCCTGAACACCTGGTGTTCCCTGTACTTGTCATGTTGAATTGTAGCATTGAAGCAATTTTGACTAATTACAAACCAAATTGTTCCACAAAGAAGAAACAAAACTTCAGCAAAGTAATATACCAAAGTCATTCTTCAAGAAGACGACTCTCTTCGTATATGTACGTGTCTCCCGCTTTTTCTGTTTGTGAAAGAGATCTATGTGCTACGTTTTTGGCGAAACGACTTTCTGGAAATGGTTCACCACTGGAAATCACACCAATGCATTAATCTTCTGCTTCAAAAAACATAAACCAGTCAGTGGTACTCAATCGACTCGTAACTCAATATCTGCCTCAAAGTTATGCATGTCGGAGTAGAACTGCTAAAAGCAAAGTAGCAAAATTTCTAATAAATGATTCACATAAAACCGAGACACATTCCAAAGCCAGCCTCACATACATCCTGCTTCAAATGCCATTGCGAATTATTAAATAAGACATCCAACATATTTCAAACGTTTAAAAGAAATAGAAATTATCGATCTGACCAAACATGCATCTTTTTCCATGATAGGTGACACTTTGCAACTAGGTATTCATGTGGCCACCTTCGGGTCATTTACCAACGGATTCGTGAGTTCTTTTAAGTGTACATGTACTTCTCCTCATTTCTGACTATTTCTCTTGGTCACAATGAAAATAAAAACAAAATAACAACCAGCTGATTGTCAGAATGTGTCGGCCTACTTATATGTCACATTTATGCATATACGTTGCTTGAAACAACGAAAGTTTCCTTCCAAATATCCTGCGTACTCGTGTCGGTGAACACGCCATTTTGAGAAAGTCGCTTCGCGATAGTGATGTCATACGTACGTCAACATTGTTATACATACTTGATATTTTCATTGAAGTGAGGTTTTGAATGAAAACACACACGATCATTTCTATCTTACTGCTTACATGTTCATTTGTAATGCTTGTTTCGTATTTTATATCTGTGTTTTAGCGTGATTAATGTCAGTATTACATCTTTTGCTTCGGGATGAGACAGGAGACCAGTCTAAATCAACTGGCACCAATTACATCATAATCCAAGGGTGGTAACTCTGGCCTGTTTATCTCGGCAAAAAAGTGTCTTCATAATGCCATTTGAACATTTCAGCACTTGTAGTACGGGTCATACTTTCATTGTAAAAAGAACTAGTGTATATTTTCAAACATTGATATTAAGTAATTACAAAATTCCATATTGGTTCACATAATAAAACCTTGCTTTTTTCGTGTACACTTGCCCTTTAATCCACTCACATCAGGTTAGTCAGTAAGTTTTGTTTTACGCCGCACTCAGCAATATTCCAGCCATATGGCGGCGGTCTGTAAATAATCGAGTCTGGACCAGACAATCCAGTAATGAACAACATGAGCATCAATCTACGCAATTGGGATACGATGACACGTGTCAACCAAGTCAGTGAGCCTGACCACCCGATCCCGTTAGTCGCCTTTTACGACAAGCATGGGTTACTGAAGATCAATTCTAACTCGGATCTTCACGGGTTCACTCACAGCAAGGAAGGATTCATGAGAAGAAATATGCATTCAACCAGGCAGTCGTACAGTTGGGTACGCAGGCGTGACCAAAAACGTTTATACTTCTATGTATACTAGTATATAATTACTACAGACATACAAAACAAGAACAACAACAAATACAGCGTGAATGACTGACCAGGTGCACCATACTGTCAACAGAAAGAAACAAATTCACGATGAATCTATCATTCAAACCAATGGTAACTGTCAGACTTAATACACACAACGCTGCACAGCGAATAATGGTGTCAATATTCACTTCAAGGGTTCCAATTTAGAAGTCAGGTATAATCATTCTTCCAGGAAAACATCTTAACCTTGTACAAAACCTAATAGTGTACAATCAAACAGTACAGTGAAGTGGCTTCCACGACGCTCACCCGTGAAGATCTGGGTTAGAATGAATATTCAGTAACCATTGCTTGTCGTAAGAGGCGACTAACGGGCTTGGTTGACACATGTCATCGGTTCCCAATTGCGCAGATCGATGCTCATGCTGTTGATCACTGGATTGTTTGGTCCAGACTCGATTATTTACAGACCGCCGCCATATAGCTGGAATATTGCTGAGTGCGGCGTAAAACTAAACTTACTCACTCACTCCATGACGCTCCACCGTTTGAAGCATCCGCATCATGATTTTCAAACAATATTATTTTCAAGAATTCCTTGTTTGGCAGTCAGTTATATTCCTCTTTCCTGGAAAACGTCTCTGTCCGAGTACAATAGCTTATAATATACTGGGACATTAAACATCAAATGCGTGTTGAACATTGTTGATCCCAGTGAATTAGATTGAGATTTCCATTAGACGTACAAAGACGTCTCCCTCAAGTGACACACGATAAGGCTGTACTCCCGAGTGCCTCTCAGGAAGCTTCACCTTGAAAACGTCATCCACCACAACCTAAACAGTAATGTAAAAATAGAAAGAAATATGCAGTATTGTGGTTAAGTAGCATATGGTATAGTTTCCATGAATTTAAATATTTTGTTCACAATCCGACGTTTCTACAGTATGGAAGATTTTTAAATGATTTCTACAACACCTATTTCTACAACATGAATATCATAGTGCAACACAACAGGTCAAAAAATACCTTATACTCGCCTTTACTCAGAGATATTTGGATCTCCGATTCCTTTCCGACAGTTAATGGAAGCGACGATAACACCTCAGTATCCCAACGATTGCGAAACTTGCTATTGATTACGGTCTTTTCTTTTGTATACTCAAAGTTAAATCTGAAATCTAAAAGGAACGGCGTGTCTTCGCCTGCCCTTAGGTACACAGAACACCTGTAAGAAAACAAAACCGAGAATTATGTGGAGGAAAGGATCAAACCATTACGAGATGTTCTCCTGAACTGCCAAATTATATTGTTTGTGAAAAATTGAAACACCTGGAAATCATTCTCTTGTGGGTGATGAGCTGACTTTCCTATTATCAGTTTCATGGCATAAAACCAGGTGAATGACTAACATGCGAAAAGGAATATTGACCAGGTTTTGGAGTGATGCTACAATTTGCTTCATGTAAGTGTGTAAATGATGGGTAGGTGTAGGAGTGAGTTTAGTTTTACGCCGCACTCAGTAATATTCCAGCTATATGGCGGCGGTCGGTAAATAATCGAATCTGGACCAGACAATCGAGTGATCAACAGCATGAGCAACGATCTACGCAATTGGGATACGATGGCATGTGTCAACCAAGCCAGCGAGCCTGACTACCCGATCCCGTTAGTCGCCTCTTACGACAAGCATGGGTTACTGAAGATCAATTCTTACCCAGACCTTCACGGGGCGGTAGGTACAGGAAAGGCCGAACAAGGTTACACTTTGTCACCATACCTCGTGTCACCACTGGTGTTTTATGATCTTTCATATAGTTTTCATCACTTTTGGGCGTTTTAATATGTTTGTGTAAGTAACTTATTATTCGCTTATGTAGACGTTTTATAGAATATTTCATGATAAGCAAGTTCAAAGCTTACTGATTCAGAAGAACTAAATTCCAGATAGTGCAGCAATTCGTCTCAAGTCATTGACTTGTTCTTTCTTCACTTTCTCGAAAAAAATGTCAGTAAAGATATAAGATGTATGCTCTCTAGTTAAAAGTCACATGAACAGATGTGAACAACAATTCCCGAATTTAAAGGGACATGCAGGGTCCTTATCAGCTTCATCTGCCACACATGTGAATTAAATAAGTTGCGTTTTAACCAGATAAGTAATTTGGCCAATCATCAGATGAGGTGAGATGAAATTTCGTTCAACAATTCGTTCGAGATTATCGCCCTTACATAGTGGCACGTGGAATGTTAATACTGTTACATTCGAAGGATCACTACTCTGTTATATGGCTGACACGCTGGTAATCATATGTAACATGTATGTCGAATATAATGTGCATGCCTAAGGGGTCACCATTCACGAGTTTCAATTCAGTATTGCTTCTTGTTCATGATGGATTTCACCTATTTTAATGCGATATCAGCGTCCACCTTCATTTTTCAACAATCACAATCGCACATTTTAATTATTTCTCATAAATACTCCCGTCAACACTTCAGACCTTATTATAGCTTATCAGGAAACGGTGGGCAGTTAGATGGCGTGACCTGCATTATGTTTTGTGAATGGAAACAAAATAAAAAATACTGGCTTGGTTAACCAATTATAAAAGAGGAACATTTCGTGCAATTTGTTCATACTTTTACGTCTGTCATAATAGAAAGATCTGCCTGTGCAGATGAAAGGACATATGTGCTCATGAATAACAGTGCAGTCATAACTCCAGGTCTCCGTGAATTCGACGAACAGGTCCGGTAATGCCTGGACTATCAAACTTAATACACTAGGGACGGTGGGGTAGCCTAGTGGTTAAAGCGTTCGCTCGTAAAGCCAATGACCCGGTGTCGATTCCCCACATGAGTACAATGTGTGAAGCCCCTGCCTGGTGTCCCCCGCCGTGATATTGCTGGAATATTGCTAAAAGCGTCGTAAAACCCGAACTCACTCACTTAATAAACTATCACAAATGTATTTAACACATGTTAGAAAAGAAATACGATTCTTGTTTGTTACGAACAACTGGTCTCGTCAAGGAATTTCAGTCATCATTCATATAATATTCGCACCTACTAAGTGGAACGGAGCTTACGGACGTCACATCAGGACACGAAGGTGGCATGGACATAGAATGTTTCTAAATACTTCAATCATATTTTAGTAATTCCGAATGCAGTCGCACCATTGTGTAACTGAAATACTGTCTTAAGCAGCATAAAACACACTCACTCACTCACTCAAAGCAGCGCATTCGAACTCCTCGTTACCTCTTATCTGTGGTTGGAGTAGCCAGGAGGTAAACACTGAAATTGCTTTGTGGCCCACACGGCAGATCATACTCCTGGTTCACTTTCTACAACAAATGCAAATATCGGGTCAGTTATTAATTACAAATTGCACATTGATTCCTTCCTTATTCACGCCAACTACAACCACCTGTTTACAGCACGATTCTGAACATATAAAATATTATTTCGTCTGGCAGCGGAATAAATGTTACATAACACTGTCGAAAGACTTCGAATTGTTCCTCCAACTACTCTTAATGATGAATTGGAATAAACTTACCTGTTCCTTGTCCAATGGAATCATATTCATTAGGTTGTTTTAAAACTAGTATTAGAGTTTAAGAATGCGATTTAGCGCAGTTCTCAGTTCACTGAGTTGGATTCAGATTGTGACTAAGCCTGCATATATCTCTTTCTTGCAAACTGTGATGACTAAGAAATACATTAACTCCAACATGCTCGGTACTAAGGTATATAGTAAATAGATATAGTTGTATCTCAGAATCCAAACAGTGTTAATGGTCTAATAACATGATGTAGATATCATTGTAACACAAATGATAACAGAGGGTATAGCATGTCATTTCCTATGAATAGAATATAATTTTGTGAACTAAACCATAATTATTTCATTGCATGGGATATCAAACGTACTGGGTTCCTCCACCTGAACTTTCCACAGATATTAGCCACAGTCTCCCATTGGCCAGAGGCTTGACAGACACTGGTGTTTCTCTGATGACAGACAGTGAAGTCTTCCTTACAGGTGTATCTTACCACAGCACCCTGGTAGTGTCCGTCATAGGTCATGCTGGTCCCGGGTACATCAGGAGGATGGCCGCAGCCTGGAAACTCTGTGGAGATAATCACATTCACATGGGAATGACGACGACTGGGTTCCACAAACAAACAAATCCAAACTGCAACAGCTATTACCCAGTAAGGCCTTCTTGTGTCACTTCGTTTAGAGACGCTTTCGCGTATTTTCAAATTATCCGATATTTTGACAAATATATCGAAATTTTGTTATGTAACCTTTATAAAATTAGTTAATTTGTTCAAATGTAGTTAATTATTGGAAATTTCGATTAATTTCTCGTGAATTAGTTTCTACTTCTTTTTTATATATTTTACTCAGACTGTCGATTATTGTCTAGTTATTATAACTTTTTCTCCAGACCAGATACATGTATACCTGAAACATCGAGAAAATATTTAATACATGTAAAAGAAGAAAATGCAAACGATTCATTTGAAAAAAAAAAAAGTTGCGATATTAGGCTCTTGCACAATGCAACAAATATATTTGCTGATGTTTTTATATTTTAATAACAGTATACTGACTTACTATGATGGGACAGGATGAAATGTTTGTATATATTTAGAGTTTTTATTCTATAGCCTTAACTGAATTAAATATTTACTTTAGTATAATTTAAACATTATATACTTCACTCTTCAGCTTTTCTAAATCTCTGTGTCAGCTTACTGGAGAGTTTTCTGCCTCAGCCACAATTGCCTACAGCACTACCACACACTCGCCTTGAGCACTACCACACAATTACCTACAGCACCACCACACAATTGCCTAGAGCACTACCACACAATCGCCTAGAGCACTATCACACAATTACCTACAGCACTACCATACAATTGCCTACAGCACTACCACACAATTGCCTACAGCACTACATGCGTTATGACAGTAGAAATTTGTCATCAACTGTACTTAAACTAAAAACATGTAACGGGCGACAGTAAGCTAACAATGGTTAAGACAAAGGGACAGTAAGTGGCGTTTGGAGTTTGTGATATACTGTAAATATTCTTGAGCTGTATGGATCACTTCTGAGGGTTAGTCTCTCACGATATTTTTTGTACTTTGTACATATTGATGTGTTGTGTACAGATGTTGCGATTATGCTTTTGATAATGAGGCTGTTTGTCATTTTGAAAATATTGGGTAGTTTATGATATCATCTAATCGTGTGGCAGAATATTAATGCATTATAAGTAAAATTATTTATGAACGGTTAATAATTCATTAATTCAGTAAGTTAAATGTGATTATTGAATTTAATCTTTAGGTGATATACAGCTGATCTATGAATGTATAATGTGGGAATGTAGCAGGGTTTTAGCATTTATGTTCTTATTACTAAATAATAACTAAACGTATTTGTTTGCATTGTTATTGCTCTCATTTGAGTAGTGGGCATGGTATGAATATATGTTCACTAATTCGTCGTGCAGATGTACCTGGATTGCTCGTACAGCCTCTTAGTTAGTCGCCTCTGAGGCACTGGTTATTGAAGATCAATACTAACCCGGATCTTCACGGGTAAAGTATATATGGAATATGCCATCAATAACGTGTTGAGGCAATGTAAATGAAATATGATAGCAATGTAAGCAATTCTAATATTGTGTAAATGGTTACATTTAAAGATGATAATAATATATTTATGTTTAGTATAATGAATGTTTACATTTTTCAGAGTTTAAATGATGTATAAGTAATACAACGGCCATAAAGCGAACAACACCGTGTATATTGAACCTGTTCCGGTTTCAATTATTAGAACATCTAAATGCTTATTAGTCCTTGTGATTATCATTATTTAATTTCGGAATTGAGTTTTGTGTAACTGAAGAACTGATATTCGAGGCGTGTCAGTTTCATTTGGACGGAAAGCTCGAAGTTCAGGGTCAAAAAAGTTTACCAGTAATAATAAGTTACTCACATGTGTATGTTTCGTTGCCCATGTTCAGTTGCAACAAACCTGGGTGAGTGAGTTAATATTTCAAGTCACATCGGCAATATCTCAGCCATATCGTACGAGAACAATTTATTCAATAAAGATTATGAAAACATTGTCAACGATGAACAGTAAAAATACTAGAATATCACATATAGGAATATAAAACTAGCATGTAAAACTAAAACATTTTAATTAAAGAAGACAATACAAAATAATACACGGGCTATAGAGGATGATCACCATACTAGGGACCATGGGGACTTACAGTACTTTAGTTGGATTTACACCATCCCTTCAGCCACTGGCGATTGTAGGAAGAGATAGCCATACATTAAAAGCACACATATTCTACGACTAAAAAGTGGTTCGGTTACATTTACTTGGAATATTTTGGGTCTTACGTATCTTCTCAGGAGGACAATACGTTTACAGTACTTTAACCCCCTTTGAGGGTACAGCCACTAACAGGAACATACCTGGAACACATGTTGCACGGCCATGTCGATCTACTTGACACCTGGTGGTTACTGGACATGACATCATAAAACAGGGACCAGAGAGAGCCTAGAAGTAAACCATTCAAATGCATATCTGAAAGCTTTGAAAAATCCTACTTAAACAGAAGACTTGGGATAATAAAAGTCTGACTGAATATAGGCGTTTGGCCATTAAAGTTTTGAAGATTGTGCTTGGATCAAAGTTAAATTCTAAAAGTTTAGTGAACATCTGCATGTTGCTCTTTTTTATCCTCCGCGACGCGTTTTGCGGGGGGTATTAAAATGGCTCCGTCTGTGCTCATTCGTCTTTTCCGGAGCAGAACTTTAAAACCGTTCACTATTTCTTCACTAAACTTGGCACATACATGTAGATAGGTCTGGTGGTGTACTGGTGCCTTTTGGTAGTTTTGGATTCTGAATAAAATATTTTTTTGCGTTTCCATGGCAACATTTCGACTGAAATTGGTGGTAGTGCTCATTTCCGGAGCAGAACTTTAAAACTGTTCACTATTTCTTCACCATACTTGACACATAGATAGCTCTGGTAGCGTACTGACACTTGGATTTCTGAATAAAATATTTTTTGCTTTTCCATGGCAAATGTTTGACTTCGACTGAATTTGGTGGTAGTGCTCCTTTGTTGAGTAAAACATTTGACATAGTCATAACTAGCAGACATATTCATGAAGGGTATTTTGCCATTGCAGGAGAAATTGATGACTTTGTCTTCTTGTTTTTCATTCGTAAATGGTTGTCATTGCTAAGCAATTTACACTGGCCCAAAAAAGAAACGCATAGGTGAAAATCCAGTGTTATCAGTGATGCTTTAATAACTTAAATTACACAAAAAGTAATGATAATGGAGCAATACAAATTCACACAGGTATTGGGACATGTGTATCCAAAAACATACAGTCATTCACAGTGGTATTGAGAGTCTCTGTTTTTGATGGCACGGTCACAAAGTCAGTATTTGGTGAGCCTCAATCACTGCTCTGCATCGCCTGGGCATAGACTGTATGAGACGTCGGATCCGCCGTTGTGGGATTCTTCTCCGTTCATCCTGCAACGCATCGACAAGCTGTTGACGTGTCTGTGGTTGCGGCTGTCGGCGTCGTTCACGTTGATCCAATTGGTCCCACAAATGTTCATTTGGGTTAAGATCCGGAGATTTTGAAGAAGATGGGAGAACTGTAATGTTGTTGATGGCAAGGAAATCTGTTGTAATGCGTGCTGTATGCGGTCTTGCGTTGTCATGCTGGAAACTTTCTCTTCTAGCGTCAATTACGGGAATAACATGACGTACCAGGATTTCATCACGATAGCGCACAGCATTCAAATTCCCTTGGACATGCACCAGCTCTGTTCTGTCATTCACTGATATGCCTGCCCACATCATTACACCTTCGCCGCCGTGTCTGTCGACCTCACGAACACACTGTCGAGCATATCTTTCATTTCGACGTCTGTAAATCCGCATCCTGCCATCATGTCGATACAGCATAAACCGCGACTCGTCGCTGAACCAGATCCTCCTCCAGTTCAGGAGGGTTCATGGCCGAACGTTCCTGCTCCATTGAAGACGTGCACGACGATGGTGGTGTCGCAGAACAGGTCCTGTATGTGGTCGCATCGGTCGGATTCCATGCTCTCTTAGGCGATTCCTGATGGTTTGTGCAGAGACTCGACGCAGCCCAGGAACATTGTCGTCGGTGTACGCTGCAGTGACGGTCCGATTTCGCAGATGAAACACCCGGATGAAGCGGTCTTGCGCTGGAGTTGTCACCCTTGGTCTCCCACTCCTAGGACGATCTCTGGTCGAGTTGTGCTGCGTGTAGCGCTGCCAGAGACGGGAAATCGTACTCTGCCTCACGTTTAGATGTCTGGCAACTGATGACTGGCTTTCTCCAGCTTCCAAGTGTCCAATGGCTCTGTTTCTGCTTTCTTCGTTTAGTCGTGGCATCTTGAGGGTCGCATATACAGAATTTCGGAGAATGAATCGCAACAGGACTGCTGGCTTTTTATACCCATCAGTATCAAGATTCAGATCCCGTATTTGCACGTGCATCATGCTTTCAGATTTTTCTACATGCAGATTATACGGGGATTTTTTTCAAGGTGCTCTGTTTTGGCGAATAATCACCAAAGGTTGTGTTTGCGTGTGTTGGATAATTGTATGGGCTATTTTCACACTTAATATTAACATTGACAGTCATTCCATGCCATATTTTTCGAAACAATCTACTTTGAAGATCAGAATTCAGCTATGCGTTTCTTTTTTTTTTTTCTCTTTATAACGGAACGATGTTTTGCTTGCATTTAAACAAAATACATCTAAACTCTCAAAATACAATCACCAGGCTATCACTAGGGCCATGCGCCTGACAGTGTACATGGTGTAAGAGCAGTGACAATTTGTTCATTTTCATAAGTCCATACCGTCCATAGTCTCGTGATTGGACCCGTGTTACATACACAAACATATTAAAACGCCCAAAAGTGATGAAAACTATATGAAAGATCACAAAACACCAGTGGTGACACGAGGTATTGGGACAAAGTGTAACCTTGTTCAGCCTTTCCTGTACCTACCGACCCGTGAAGGTCTGGGTTAGAATTATAATAGTAACCCATGCTTGTCGTACGACTAACGGGATCGGATGGTCAGGCTCGCTGGCTTGGTCGACACATGTCATCTTATCCCAGATCGATGATCATGCTGTTGATCACTGGACTGTCTGGTCAGACCGCGGCCATGAAGCTGGAAAGTTGCTGAGTGTGGCGTAAAACTAAATTCAACCACTCACTCACTAATGAACGTTGATTCATGAACGTTTAATTATGGTAATATCAACCTCACAGTGGTTTGGATAAAAAATGAAAAGAGCACTTTATTAGACAATTTTTGCCATATGCATTTTCAAGTACTGTGGATACAGTCAAAGGGAGGGGCTTTTGACCAATCAATTCAATTCAGTTCTTTCAATTCTGTATTCTCATAAACCACATTGGTGGTACAAGAGCATATATTGTAAACATATACACAAATACAAATTCAAATTCAAGATGGCAGAAAACAACATACAGTACAACCAGAAATTATTGAGAATTTAAGATTGTAATTTGTTTATTTTTTTCACTCATTACTCACGTATTAAATGTGAATATTAGCAGAACATAACTCCAGGTTCAAAGACAGGTGAACAGTTAGTATTTTGTCAAGTCACCATGGGCAGCAATGCAGGCTTCAATGCGGCGGGGCATACTTCTGATCAAAGAAGTTAGAAAGTCGTGGTCAATGCTGTCCCAATATCGGACCACCTCTTCTTTCATTTCAGCAATATTTGTCAGATTTTTCTTATTGACACTTTCCTTCATAAGTCCCCAAACATTTTCTAATGGATATAGGTCAGGGCTATAGTTTGGCCAATCTAATAATGTCATATCTTGGGTCCGAAACCAGGCCTGTGAATGCTTTGAACGATGTTTAGGGTCGTTGTCCTGCTGGAAAATCCAAACATTTCCATAGAACACGTGAGCAGATGGAAGTAAATGTCCCTCGAGAATATCTGTGTACCGCTCACTGTTCATATTCCCCTTCAAATACACAAAGATATGCCACCCCACACGTCGGACTGTACTTTGGGCGCTGATACAAAGGTTTTTTCAGTTTGTTTGGTCCAGAATTTCAGTGTATTAGGAAACAGCCACACAGAACTTTCATCTGAGAATATCACATTGTCCCAGTTAAAATTTTTATGCTGTAAGCACCAGTTCAACCTTCGCTCCTTTTGTTCAGGTTTCATGATCGATGATGGAATTCCTCGACTTTTCTGCTAACCCATTGCATGCAGCTCAGTTCTAATTGTCTGCTTACAGACAGCCACAGTTCCTCTATCAATCATATCCAGCCTTTAGTTTTCTAAACTCCATCGTCTGATTTTAGAAACAAGAATACCAAGCCGCCTCTGGTCGCCGACAGTCAATTTTCTGGGCCTACCTGCGCCTCCCTGGTGCTCAATGCCATATCCATTTGCAATATTTTTCAAAACACGATAAACAGTGGACAAAGGGATGCCTGTTCTACTTGAAATCACTTTAGCTGATCTGATGTCCTTGTTATAATACTCTAAAATCAACTTCCTCTTCTCTAAATCATCAATAATGAGTATCACTGAAAATGTCGTCTGCTACTAAGTAAACAAAGGGGGATAACTCTTCACAAACTAATGACAAGGATTAACGGAGTTGTCTCTCTTGAATGAAACCAAGCACTTGATAGCTGGTCAAGGTTGTTTATACTAGAAATCCAAATAAACATATTCCTAAAATTCTCAATAATTTCGGGTCATACTATATTAACATTTTATCTCACAAGAGATGATAGATGTAGGATATATTTTGATAGATTTACTATGTCTCGAGATGTTTTTACAGATAATATTTTCGTGAACTCTGTTTCATTGGGAAAAAGAGGAAAGATGGGTGGGCAAATCACTAATCTCACTAATCATGACGACAAGCGATATACCAGGGACTTTACAGGATACCCCTCTGTACAGCAGAGAGCAACTGATTGATCTGAGGCCCCAAGCTGGTGAGGGACAATGACAATGGCTTGAGAAAGGGGGGTAGGGGTGGAGGATGCACACTTCATTTCCACGCTTAGAGGTTCGTCGTCAATTTTACAAGGAATCCAGAAATCGGGTATCAAACTGATTAGAAAAACGAAAACTGCAAAAACCAAAAAGGATCTTGATAATCGCAATAATCCGAAGACATTGGTTTTAGCTTTAAAAGGTCTGCTTGGAAAATCATCAGAGGTTGTTTGATGTCGATGATGCTGAACTTTGATAACATTGTCTTGAGAAAATAAATCGGATTCAAGAGGGCCCAGCGTTTGGCAAATATAATCCATAATCTGAATCATTTCTGTACAGATGTTTGTAGAACATTGTTTTTACTCGGCATCTTCTCACTAGAGATGCCGCAGCAACACTCATGCGATCACTTATTCTTTCTTGTGATTGCATAATTGTTTCCGTGGCATCTCTAGTGAGAAGATGCCGAGGAGAACCAATGTTCCTGAAGTGGAGTGACACTAATGTGATCTTCCGTGGTTAGGTAGACGCCAAGATCTGTCACGCCTGGACTACTGCACTAGACTCCCCAATGGCATTTCTAAGGATCAACTTCACGGATTGCAAAGATTGCAGAGTACCGCCGCAAGGCAAGTTACTAAGACTAAACCTAGAGAACACATATATTCAAACCACTTCATTGGCTACAATCCCATGACAGAATACGAAAGAAACCCTTCGTTCAGTTGACAAATTCCTGCTTTCTGTACCTCTCTACAAGTTGAAGACATTGAGACATGCCACCTCCACACACGCTGCTCTGCTATGGATCTCTCTTCCCCATATACCTCAGATGCGATCCATCCTTGCATACCTTTAAATCTGGCCTAAAGACCACCTATTTAATAACCACTGTCTATTGTTCATCTTTTTATTTGTAAGTGCTTAGAGCATGACCTGTGCGACGCTGACATCAGCGCCATGTAATTATCCTTATTATCGTTATTCATAAACACTGCCAGTGTAAAAACACTGCCACACATATCGACATGGATCTTTCCCAATGATAGCTAAAGACCGCATATTTAACCTTTGCTAAGGCGAACCATTTACTGTAGAAATCAACATGAACAGCCACAGAAAAGGTGCTACACGTGTTTTAACGTGTGCAGGATGTGGTGAGCATGACATTGGGAGGAAAAGTTAAAAACACTGCCTTTTTAAAGGCAAATGTCCAAGTCCATTCTTGCAGGACTCGAACTTGTGGCCAATAGGTTGGTAATGTGTATTATCAGTTGGCAACAGAAAATAATGTCAAATACAGTGTAAAAACAACATATCTTATCTTCCCATGTTGTTACTGGGTTGCTCGTTTTGGAATAAATAATGAGTCTTGCTGTAGGTGAGTGATGGCTCCCAATCACACCCAGAATAATTCCAAAGGTGAAACCCAATGGCCTGTCCTCGACAGTCGAAACTGGCGTACGTCATTAGGGTATTTTATAGACACTAGCAAGTTTTCCCCAGCATAGCAATCTTTATCATCTCTCAGTTTTATAAAATCAGTCGCCAGGTGTTTGCGAAGTATGGTAAAGAATGACATACCTTTGGCCAGCGTTGGATATCACTGAAGTCAAACCCAGATCTTGGAGAAATGTTTACATGATCACTGGTGTTACTATGCAGAAAACATGTCAGTGTCTTGTGTTCAAAACCAAAGGAGAGACACACAGAGGACATAAGGCATTCAGACGCACAGTCATAGAGTGAGAGACTCTCGAGTTTCCTGAACACCTGGTGTTCCATGTACTTGTCCTGTTGTATTGTAGCATTGAAGCAGTTTTGACTACTAGTAATTACAAACCCCCCGCCAAGAAGAAATACAACTTCAGCAAAGTAA